CGACGTATCAGACGTGCTTAGTGGCTCCATCATCAGGGCGACATCGTTCATTTCGTACGAGACTAGACGGCTGATGCCTTAATAAAATAAGTGAAGTCTCCGTCTTCCTAGACATGATAAACGTGGATGGATTAAGAGAGGACGAAATATTAAAGTGTCTGAAATAAAGAGACCTAAAAATATCGTGTCTTATGCGTAAATTGCAAGAATAATGCATTTTTGTCTCCTCAGCTGAGAACTCCAACTTCTTACTATAACCGTCAACGTTGTGTTTTACGTAACCTGCATTATGTTTAACATAATTTCGGTAATTAGTTCTGCCAACATCATAGTTGAATTAAAACACCCTCCATATAGAACGAAACGGGTTAGTATTTATCTCTTGTATATTCGTGTCATTTATTGAAATTCTGCTCTACAGGAAAATAAGTAAACACATTTAAAGAACAAGAAGTCGAAGTGTACTGACTGCGAAACTTTTGTTACGGTCATTTGGAAAACAACATGGCGATCGCGCGGAATATCATTTTCCTGCATACTTACCTGATGAACCGTAGTCACACCAATTTTGTGCAGTAACATAGACACATCTAAAAGAGTAATTAATATGTACAAGATCTAATTCTTTGGGTTTTCGATACGCACGAAGTAAAATTCGATCGCTTTGAGCACTACAACTGTCAGCAGTCAGACCACAGCAGGTACAGAGCACATGAGAAATAAAACATGATGTATCCTAAAGTACCGCAACAAATCTGAAGAAACTGCTGTGCTGCGTCCTTCTTTGTCCCACAAATAACCAAAGGGACTGACTTCAGGCAGACACATAAATCATCGCCTAGGTCTTTAAGCCACGTTCGATCAGAGGCAGTATAATACAATGTAGGACGAATATGAATGTTGATAATTAGCACTCTGAAATGAATACATTTTGAACATAATAAATTTTAGTAATACATTACTACAAATGCATTACCTTTGTCACTTATGGCGTCATTTATCTCCCTTTCGATTCTAATTTTGAAAATATTGTTTTCCCAACAAATTTAATGAAAGTAGACCAACGTAACGCTAAACCAAAATTTTATTATACACGATAATTACGAATAGCTGTTTGCTGATTAAAAATTCATGGGTCTAACGTTTGAAAAAGGGACTGTTTTAAAAGTGTTTTAAACAAATGACGCAAAGTTGTTTAGTTTAAAAACAAACTAAACAACTTTGCGTCATTTTAGGTACGCATACTTTTGAGTTAAAAACTATAAATCAATAAATTAAATTTGAGTAACTTGCGACATTCTGAATATGAAATGCCCGATATGAAATATAGTAACGTGAAAAACCATTGAAAACATTGCATTCTAATTTAAAATGTGTTAGTATGCAATTCCACTTTTTGATTATTTTCTTAATTTGATATAAATTAAACAAGACTATTGGCTGTTTGTTCGGAGATCTCTTCCCTGAATTGGAGCAGTGATGCTTTTATTGACACCTAAGAAGATGGCATTACGGACTGACTTGATTCCTGCCTTTTTCTGACCACAGCACTTACTAAATCATATTCAGACAGGAGTTCGAAATCATGGAATTCATTTATGATCTAAACAATTTCACGGCCTTGTGTGTCTTGAACGTACGGCGTTTACGAACTACGTCAGTGTCTAGAACGTCAAAGCAACATTTTCTGCACATCTGGTCGAGAACAACTTCTAATCGCGTCCCGTGTGCTTGAACTTATTCCTTCATAAACCTGGCCTCGCTGTAGTACCAAATTAATGATTCTTGCAACATCTGCAAGGTATCCTCCCCTCTCTGT